TAATTGCCCTTCATTGCACTTAAATTTAAGATTATTCTAAATGTTTCTTGGAAATTTATATTCCTACACTCAATGAATTTCTGTTTGTCTTGGAAATTTCTCAAACTGCTTGTCTAATTGACCACCAGTTAAAAAATTTCTCTAAGTATGTCGTGTTTCAGGATAACAGATATAAACCCATTTTAGGAAAAACATTTGTAAAGAACATATCAATATTACTGGTAATTTATTCTTGAAAATTTTGCATAAGAAAAATTAAATTTTCAGCCATTCTCAGTGGCTGCTACCAATTCTTTGTAGAAATTTCTTCTATTGGAAAAAGATCTTTTACTAGAACAACTGTTAAAATACAACCTTGACAGAACTCTGTTGTCGTGACTATACTCTTGAATAGATTATTAAACATTCCTTGTTAACATTTAAGGAAACAGACTAACTTTATTTCCTTCTTTGGGAATTTTAAGAGCACCATACCCAAAACGTGATAATTAATTGATCCATACCCCTTGGAAAGAGTCTTTCTTTCTTTCTTTCTTTTTCTTTTTTGCAGAGGAAGATTCATGCTAAGCTAACATCTGTTGCCAGTCTGCCTCCTTTTTTCTTCTTCCCTGCCCCCCCACCACCACCACAAAGCCCCAGTACATAGTTGTGTATAGTTGTAAGTTCTTCCGGTTCTTCTGTGTGAGCCATCGCCACAGCATGGCTACTGACAGACGAGTGGTATAGGTCTGTGCCTGGGAACTGAACCTGGGCTGCCAAAGTGATGAGAGTGCTGAACTTGAACCACTAGGCTGTCAGGGCTGGCTCAGGAAAGAGTTTCTTATTGTGTGCAGCTGTCTTGGACCTTGGCCCTGCCATATTTTAACAGTGTACAAATGACACAGGTGGAACTACGGAGAACACGCTTATTGGGCTTTCTGAGGACTCAGCAGCAAAGGATCAGGGATAATTGGACGATGGCTTCAGAATTCAGAAAACTCGTAATAAGTTGGAGCAATGGGCTGACTCTAACAAGATGAAATTTCACAGGGATGATTTAAGTTTCTATATTTTATTCAAAATAACAACTGAACAAGCATAGGCCAGGAGTTAACAAAGGCTGTTGAAATTGCAGATTGATATAAACTGAAAAGCATTTAAGCCTTAACCACTTAGAATAAGGACAAATACATCTACATATAGTAATAGGATAATAATGCTCTCAGGTTGTATTAGAGTTAGTTCTGTTTCTTCTGATGATTTTGCTAGTTAGGTAAAGGCAAGATACCAGGAAGGAATTAACATGTAAGATTTTATAAAAAGTCAAATGAGTGTGCTTAAGTAAAACAAGCTTGCCATTTAAAAAGGTAAACTAGTTATATTGAAATATCACCTACGTGCAGAACTTCAGTTCTCAAGGGTGTCAAATTAATAAGAGATCCTTCAGTCCCTTGAATTTCTGAAGGTTTACATATTTTACTTACTTTTTAATTGAGCATGTCTGTTTTAAAGATGAGAGAGCCACACTGGTGAAGATTTACTGCTTTTCCCCAAGATTTAGTTGTGCTTTATGTGAAGCTAAAGAAGGAGATGCTTAAGAATGGGAGCTTGTCTTCTGCATTCCAACCCCCATATGAACTTTTTTGCTGTCAGGTTTTTTTGCTATTTTGAGCTATTTAGTTTAATTCTCTATTATTGTTCATTTTTAAAAGGTTCTAGTGTTTTGTTTGTAAAATAGGAAATACAGCAATGTACTTCTTACGTCCAGCATTTCCTTTGTTTAGAATGTTTCCTTAATAAATTCTTCAGTTTCAGATTATTGGTTTGTATTGACTTGTACTCTCTTGCTTGCAAGTGACAGAATCCGAAATCACATTAGCATAAGCACAAAAGAGACATTGGCTCACGTGACTGAAAAGTCTGCAAGGGGAGAAATAGCTTCAGGCTTGTCCTTCAGGTGATCTCATCAGGATGCAGTTCTCTTTGTCATTCCACACCTCATCACTTTTCAGACTTGCTCCCTGCCTCAGCTAGTTAGCCATTGGCAACAGTATCAGAGAAAAAGATGCACCCTCCCCAGCATCCATATCAGTTCCTGGGAGAGTTCTGATTACCCCTGTTTGGGTTATATGCTCACCAGTCATTTGGAGTCAGGCAGGAACAGTTTCCAGAAGGAAGGGATATGGGGCAGACAAAATAACAGATGTTTACCACATGGGTCAGAAAGAATGAATATTTTTATACTCCTCTCTTCTCCCAAAAGGAAATCTGTGTTACGGATGATGGATTATGCACACATCAGACAGGTGTGTGGGGACACACTTAGTACTTCAGTGCCTAGAGCATTTAGTTGGAGAGCTTTGAATCTGCCAATGTTTATTTTACTGTATCTAGATAATGGAACTTTTGTGTAAGATTGCTGTCTACTAGCCTTTCACCTTATCTGTAATGCTTTTTGAAATTGCTGTTGAAGAGATTGCGGTTGACAGTATGTATTCAATATACAGTATGAAGTTATCTACTGACCAGGAACTGTGTGGAAATTTAGCTCTTGAAGATACTTGAGTCATTTCTAAAAGTACAGCTAACACTGGAAAAAAGCAGTGTAGAAAAATGGGCCTTTTCTTTCAAAGGCCACATTAAAAATAAGAAGACTGATGGGCATTTGGGGTCGAGGGCAGTATCTTTATCTGTTTGGATACTGTCAGTGGTGGAGAAGAGAAAAAAAGGGAGTGATGAGGAGAGAAGGTAGGAAGGCAGGTGGAAGCCAAACGCAAGGATGGGGAAGAGAAAAGAAGTAGAGAGTGGTTTCCAGTCTTACCTAAGCTTTAGAAGAATAATTGCTCCTCTGGGCCAAATGGTCTGTTTTTTTTTTTCTGTCAACATGTTATGCTCATTTGGGGATGTGCTTTTTAAATCTTTTTGTTCTCCAAAATTATTCTCAGTTCTAATTTTTAAGAAGCATCTCTAGGTTAAAAAAAGTCTTAGATCAACGTTTTAAATAAACCTATGATGTTTGTGTACATTTTTCCATGAGTAAATGTTCAGTAATATGTAAATATGTAAGGGAGTTTCCATTTTTTTATTTTTGACTTGTTTCATATGCTGTTTCACCGAGTTGTAATTTTAGTAAACTAGAAGCTTCGGTATTCTATATTTGGGGATTAGTTGGATTTAGCTGTTAATCCTGTTAACCGGGATTCTTAAGGAACAGTAACAAAGCAGCAGGTTCCTCTTCCAGCTCTTGTCAGCACCCCGGGCCCCTCCCCAGGAAGCTGGCGGTCCCGCGGTTGTGTCCTGGCTCAGGGACTCTCCTCACACATTTGTCTCATGTCTGCCCTCAGTGCGCAAGGGGTTGAGGTTGCTGTGACGTGGTTTTAAAAAATACTCCACAACGTGACAAGCAGAATTCTATCTGCTTTTGCAGGGGCATGAGAAAAAGGCCTCAGCACGGTTGCGCTGTCCTTTGTAATGACCCGAGGAGAACTGTAACGCCTGGAGACTTCTCACCCCACCTGCTGTCTTGCTTTCAGTCCCCTTCCCGCCCCTCAGTGGACAGAAGTGAAGGAGCTGAGGCTGTTTCTTGACCGACAGGCTGCACACTACCGTTGGTTTCTTTCCAACATTTTATTATGAAAAATTTCAAACATGTGGCAGAGTTGAAATCATTTTCCACCGAACACTATGAACCCACCTTCTAGAGTCTATAACATTTTACTATCCCTGCTTTATCACATATTCATTCATCAGTTCATCTTCTTATTTTTGATGTATTTCAAAATAAATTTTTTTTCCTAATCTTTTGTCACTACATGTGAATCCTTAATCCTCGTGATAAGGATTTCAGGCATCATTAAGCACGTGTGGAGAAAGCACTGTTGAGCGAAAGGGCCTAGCACAGTTCTTGCCACATGGTAGGTATTCTGTAAATGTTTGTTAAGTGAATGCAATTCCATTAGTCTTGTTTGGCCCTGTAGGTGAACTTGAGTTTGCCCCTTAGGACAAACAATTCCTTTTAAAACAAATCATGTGTTTCCTGGGTGTGTGGGATCCCCAGTTTATAAGATGGACTTCCTTCTACATGACAGTCCCTGAAAGGCAATTACTTAGAATTTGAAATGGATTGAAAACATACATATTTTTACATATTTATTATATATTATAAAAGCATGTATAAAATATATTTTTTACAACAGTGGTTCTCTCTCTTGGAATACTTCTAAATGGCAATATTCCAAGGAATCCATATTTCTGGGTTGATGCCTCAAGGGTCCTCTTGAGGAAGAGGCTGAAAGAACAGCTCCCCCTCACATCACAGACAGCTTCCCTTTAATCTGTTTTATATGAAATTAAGATTTCATTGCAGGAAGAGTTTGAAAATCATAGCTGTTCAGGTTACCTGACCAGTATGCACAGCCCTCTGAGAGTCATTGCATAGTGGGAAGAATTATGGTAGAAGAATGTAAATATATCTTGCTACCCAAATCTTAAATTTCTAACTTTAGTTGCCTAGGGATACCACATTATCAACATTCCATCCCAGTGGCTCTAGATAAAGAGTAGTGAGAATTTTAATTGCAAGGGATTAATCTAAAAACGTGAATCTGATATATGTGTACATATTTGTATGTCTGTATGTGTATCTCTTCAGTCCTCAAGTGTGAGTGTTCCCAGAATGAACAGTATCTGTATTTCCACTTCTTACCTCCTAAAAGGAAGGGCATGCTATTCTCCCAACTTGATGAAATGGGTGTGTTCTGAGTACTTTTTGGGGGCTAATCTCTAAATACAATGTGGGCAGCTATCAGAAACCTTCCCTGCTTCCAGAACAGAGCAGGGGCTCTCACCGTTGGTGTTATTCTTCCTCACAACAGGGCTGATGAATCATTTTGGTAATATGTCTTCCTTTCTTCCAAAACAACCACAGCCACTGTCGTGAAGTGTTTGTTCATACCAGCACATTCACAAAGTGAACTGTAAAGGTTGTTTGGGTTTTTTATTGTTAAGTTTACATTTGTAACTTCCTCTTTTCCTCTCCACTCCCAATAGGCTCGGGTTATGTATGATTTTGCTGCTGAACCTGGAAATAATGAACTGACAGTTAATGAAGGAGAAATTATCACAATTACAAATCCGGTAAGAGAACTATTACATAGAAATCTGACTGTCCCCTCGGGACTTATTTTTAAGATTTTATATTTTTAATAAGTTGATCATTCAAACCCACATGAATTTTTTTCCTGTTGCTTATGGAGTATTGATGGTAAAGTAAGAATCTATTATATAAACATTGAGGAAAGTTCAGTACCGTACAGATAGCTGGATGGGGTTCCATCAGACGGAAATGGAAAGAGACATCCCAGACAGATCCCAGCCGGATCGAAGGTGTAGAGATTAGAAAGTGGTCAGTGTTTCTTAGAAGTCCCAGGAGCCCTTTATTGACAGCCTATGAGCCAGGCGTTTGGCTCAGTACTGTGCATACATTCTTTAATGTCTTTAGATGAACTCTATGAGGTAGGTGTTTTTAATCTCTGTTTTACAAAGAAAGGTAATGAGACTTAGAGGTCGAGTAACTTGCCCAAGATCATTCTGCTTATAGGTGGCAAAACAAGAATTCACAGCCACATCTGTTTGGCGCCTAGGCCTCTGCTTTTTCTGCTCTGCTGGGGAACACTTCATGTAAACAAGCGTCCCAGGAGCATAGGGACAGAGCATGTAGGAGACAGTAGGAGACAGGCTAAGAAAACTGACTCTTGGAGCCAACTCAGACAGGACTGTGGGCCAGGCTCTAGACTTTGGACTTCATTTGGTAGTGGATACATTTAAGGGTTTGGCTTGGTGTTTATTGTTGATATTGTTGCACTTCAAGGAAATTAATCTAGCAGAGGTGTATAGAATAAATTGGTGTGGCTGGAGTCTAGGGCCATGACTTTGGATAGTAGCAATAGGAGTCAAAAGAAGATGGGTGCAGGAAGCTTGACGAGTCAGACCCAGAGGACTTGGTGCTTGATTAGATGCTGGTGGCGAGAAGAGTCAGGGATCACTGAGGTTTTTGGCCTCTGCACCTGAGAGAATGGTGACTTTATTAAAGTATGTAAGTCAGGAAGAAGAGCTTCTTCGGAAAGATTAAGTGAGTTTATTTTTAGATAAATTGTTGAATGTAAAGAATAGTAAATAATCAACCCTGCCCTATAGTTTTGCATGAGTTTAAAAATGGAACTACCTACAGAGCTAGAGATGAAGGCTGGAGATAAGCCAACACCCTAGACATCGTTGAGAGTAAGCACATGAAGAAAGGTGCTGGGAAGGCCAAGGAGACTCTGGGAAAAGGAGGAGGAGATGCAGATGTGTTCCGCCAGGTGGGAGGGAGGGAGGACTGTAGCAGCACAAAGATGAAGGAAGGAGGAGGAATGACCAAGATGGTGGCTTCTTAATATTGATAGTATTTTTTTGCGGGGGGGGGGGGGGGAAGATCAGCCCTGAGCTAACATCCAATGCCAATCCTCCTCATTTTTTGCTGAGGAAGATTGGCCCTGGGCTAACATCCGTGCCCATCTTCCTCCACTTTATATGGGACCCCGCCACAGCATGGCTTGACAAGCGGTGCGTTGGTGCACGCCCGGGATCCGAACCTCCGAACCCTGGACCGCTGCAGCAGAGCTCGCGCACTTAACCACTTGCACCACCAGGCCGGCCCCTTGATAGTATTTTAAAAATCTATTTTATATGTCTTAGATACAAAGAAGAATTACTGGGTAGAAAAAGTATATATAGTTTTAGATAATATGCTACGTGTATGTAAGTAACTAGGTTCTATTTTTAATCAGAGGAGAGATTAAAGATTCTTTTATCTAACCATCTAATTTTTTTTTTAGTGAAGTGTTCTTCATTTCTTGGTAAACTAGTATTGTCTTTAAGTTGCTGTTGTAGTCAAAAATGGACAAAGTTGTGGCTTAAAGTGATTTTTAAAAAGAATGTGTGGGGCCGGCCCCGTGGCTTAGCGGTTAAGTGCGTGCGCTCCGATGCAGGCGGCCTGGGTTTGGATCCCGGGCGCACACCGACGCACCACTTCTCTGGCCATGCTGAGGCCGCGTCCCACATACAGCAACTAGAAGAATGTGCAACTATGACATACAACTATCTCCTGGGGCTTTGAGGGAAAAATAAATAAATAAAAAATTAAAAAAAAAAAAAAAAAAGAATGTGTGATCTAGATTCAGGTAATTATTAACTAATTAGGGCATGATTTATGAACTTAACTCTTACTATTTTAAGGGGAAAATGTTGGACTTTGCTATAATTATAATTGATTGAAAAATGGGAATCCTGGTGTAGCGTACTTTACTATTTAGTTTATTAATATTACTTATCCAGAAGAGCTAAGGAATCATAGATTGGTTAGCTTTTCCTGAATAACAGGCAATCCCAAAGCTTAGTGGCTTAAACAAACAACCATTTGTTGTTGCTCAGCAATCTACAAGTCAGCTGGATGGTTCTCCTGACCTGGGCTCGCTCATGCGTCTAGCAGTTCTCCTCCTAGGGGTTGACTGGCTTTGGATGGGCCCACAGGGAGGCTGGGCCTCGACTCTGTCATCATCTAGCAACCTAAATTTATTCACATAGCAGCTCTTTTGGAAAAAAGAGTGAGCTGAAGTGTGCAAAGCCTCTTGAGGCCGGGCTCTGAACTCGCCCCATATTATTTTTACCTCCTTCTTTTGGACAGAGGTCACAAGGGACAACGCAGATTCTAGAGGTAGGGGGTGTCATTCTATTTCTTGACAATTGGAGCCGCAAACCATTTTGTAATCTACCACAGACCAGTAAATAGAAAGGAATTACAAAATGATGGTGTTATATTAATAGGCTATCCTTCAATCTTTGATTGCTTGTTGAAGTTTGATTTTTCTTGTTTTTAGATTATATCCTTTTCTTGAGTAAAGAAGAGTCTTAAGAATTTAAAATTTTGATCAGTGTTAGCTCTGTAGGAATAAAATGCTAATTTATGTTAATTACTTTTTCATGTATAACAATTCCCAAAGCAAAATTTCTACAGAAAATTCCCACTGTAATCTTTTTTCTTTATTTTTTTTTTTTTTTAACTTTATTAGGATGTTGGTGGAGGATGGTTGGAAGGAAGAAACAACAAAGGAGAACGAGGGCTGGTTCCCACAGACTATGTTGAAGTAAGAACGTACTGTCATTTATTAATTAAACCTGGTCTTTAATAAAACACCTTTTTATGAGTTACCAACTTAAAGGACAGATTGGAAGATAGCTACTTTATTTTTAATTTAAAAAATTTCCATTTTAAAAGTAAAACATGCTAATTATATAAAAAGCGGAAAATAAATTGAAGTAGAACAAATAAAAATATTACCTATAGAACCAAGCTCCAAAGAGTGACTTCAGATATTTAGATTATGTTCCTTCCAAGGATAACAACTTGTAATAATTCTGAATAAAAGTATCTATTTTTCTTTGCTTATATTGTATAATAACTGCTGCCTACAATACTGTTTATTGTAGAATTGATTCACAAAGTTTAAATAGATTTTTTGAAGTGACTTTCTTCTCCCTGTGCTAATTTAGGACATATCTGTCAGTTCCTTCTGTTCCCATAGACAGAAGGGTCTTGAATGAGCGGCTGTGAGCCATGCCTGGTTTAAGCTCTATTGAAATAGATGCCAAGGATGGTGTCACAACACCCGGAAGGAGGCTCCCTGCCTGGGTCACATTCACTCAGCTGACAAACCCTCTTCTGAGTCAACCTCCTGGCACCCCCTGCTGGTTGTCTGTGGGCCACTTAGAACTGAGTACTGAGTACTTGGTGAGCTTGCCTCTCATCTCAAGTGACAGACAGTAAGGTTGCGTGGTGCCCTGTGAGTAAAATAGAGTGCGATCAAGAATAAGGGTTCCCCTCCAGTAGAGAGGAATGCCTGGGCACTGCCTACAGAATGGGAAGGCTGTCTATCTGTTCTTCCTGATTGGGAGTTGGGGTGGGGAGTTTTGGACCCTCTGGAGAATCTGATGAACTCTTTAGACCATCCTCTCGGAATACATGCACCTGCACACACCCCAGCAGATTCCATACGACTTCAGAGGGGTCACAGGCCCCTGAGCTTGGTCCACATGTCTTCTGTTTATGTCGTGTTTTACCTCTGTGCATTACGCGTTCAGGATTCTAAACATTGACAGGAATGAGAAAGATCTGAGGATTTATGTGGACACTGGCATTAATTGTGTTGTCTAGAATTCTGCATACTTATAGAAAGGAATAGTTAATACAGATGTTCTTGGGCTTACTTACCTTTTAATATAAACCTCTTTTCCATAATAGATGGCAGTTCTTGCTTGCCTCCAGGGACTCGATCTCTGTAATAACTCTAATCTATGAAAATAACTGTGGTTCTTTCTACTATTCAGATCTTGCCCAGTGATGGAAAAGATCAGTTTTCCTGTGGAGATTCAGTGGCTGACCAAGCCTTCCTCGATTCTCTCTCAGCAAGTACGGCTCCAGCCAATTCACCAGCCGCCAACAGCAGTAACCAGGTGAGTCTTGCATCGTCCTGCTGTACACGGCCGGCTGAGAGCAGGGCCCATTTGTGGAAGCCTGTGATGTGTTATAGCTGTTGCCATTTGCTGAAGGCACAAACAAAGGAGCTGTTAGGCGTTTGTGTGGCATTTCTGTTGGGTATTAACAAAGAACTCACCTGTTAAGGCTGCTAAAGACTGTTTTTAAAGTTGATTGTAAGAGCGAAGGCAGGGTGTTTGTCCGGAGTTGCTTTTAAAAGTCTGACGTGATATGAACACAAACCCTGTCAGTTGCAAATACTCTTTCAAGTGAGGGTGTGGAAAGAAAAGAAAATTCCTGTTGCTGGGATGGTCAGTGTCAAAGCTCTGGCTGGAACAGGAAATGATTTCTCTGACCTTGGCGTGTTATTACGTTCTCAGCTATCGCCCCCTCATCTTGCAGGTGCACTGCACGTACAAGTGGCTGTAAATCTGGCACTCAGCGCTTGGTAGTATTACTGTATTGCTTCTAGAAAACTTAGAAGAGTGGGATAGTTTGAGAAAAATACACTGAAATTTACATTAATTTTAGTGAAAATTTGACCAGTTTAGGTGACTGCCTAGTTCAGTTATCGCTAGATGATTATCCAAAGTGAGCGACAACAAGAAAGTTGAGAAGATGGATGTCAAAATGTTATTGCTGGGGCCAGCCTAGTGGCACAGTGGTTAAGTTCACATGCTCTACTTCGGTGGCCCAGCGTTTGCAGGTTCAGATCCCAGGCTCAGACCTGCACACTGCTCATCAAACCATGCTGTGGCGGTGTCCCATATACAAAAAAAAAAAAATAGAGGAAGATGGGGACAAATGTTAGCTCAGGGCTGATCTTCCTCAGCAAAAAGAGGAAGATTGGGGGCCAGCCCCATGGCATAGCGGTTAAGTGCACGTGCTCCACTGCTGGTGGCCTGGGTTCGGATCCCAGGCACACACCAATGCACCGCTTGTCAGGCCATGCTGTGGTGGTGTCCCATATAAAGTGGAGGAAGATGGGCACGGATATTAGCCCAGGGCCAGTCTTCCTCAGCAAAAAAAGAGGAGGATTGGCATGGATGTTAGCTCAGGGCTGATCTTCCTCACACACACACACAAAAAAAAACAAGAAGATCGGCAAGGAATGTTAGCTCAGGGACACTCTTCCTCACCAAAAGAAAAAAAAAAATGTTATTGCTACCTACATCTTAAAAAATGAATGGGCTTTAGGGGATGTTATTTCTTGATAATTTTTTAACTACATAAAAAATTTTAAATTATGTGAAATCTAATAATCATATCACTTATAATTATTTGCCTATAGCATGTCTGTATCTTAATCTCCCAAGAGAGTTTATCAAAGTGCTGTTTACCATATATTAACTGCAGGTTTTATATGTGTTACAATAGCTTTTTGTAGACAACCTGAGCTACAAATTAGTCTGGCCCAGATATTTCAGATTCAGAGGCAAAGTGATCACCATGGTTGAGCATTTTCCGCATTTTCCTATGTTTTGTTACTCTACACTACCTGAGAACGTTGGTCAGTTAAAGATTACTCATGACAGGATTTGAAGAAATCCTAGCTAGACCTTACTGCAGTTTTACAGTGGTTCTCAGCCGGAGCACTGTTAGCATTTGGGGACTGGTACTTCCTCACTGGGACGTTTAGCAGCATCCCTGGCCTCTGTTCACTCGATGCCAGCAGCACCTCCTTCAGTTGTAATGACCAAAGAAGTCTCCAGATATTGCCAGATGTGCCCTGCGGGCTAAGTCAAGCCAGCTGAGGTTTACTGAGTTATACAAAAACATAGCGAAATCGGTTTGCATTAGGTAAAAGGCAGCATTTTAATAAAAGGGAATTATAATGAGATGATCATAGAATAAGTGAAAGAAACAAAAGATGGAAATATTCATCTTAATTCAGGGACCTACTTCAACCGTTATCTCAGGAGAGGCTGAAGTGCTGTCGTTGGTGAACACAAGTCCAGAATCAGGCTCCAGTCTTGTTCTCTTATGAAGGACATTCCTCGGTATTTAAATGTAGTAATATAAACTGGTTAGTGTAAGTCTGAATTTTTTTTCTTTCAGGTTATTTGGAAGATAATATAACCAACTTTTTTTTTTTTAAGTTGGTAATCTGATCTAACAGTAAATCTAATCAGATTTTGAAAGCAAAGCAAAAGTGAACTGATGGGCCGGCCCCGTGGCTTAGCTGTTAAGTGCATGCGCTCCGCTGCTGGCGGCCCGGGTTCGGATCCCGGGCTTGGATCCCGGGCGTGCACCGACACACCGCTTCTCCGGCCATGCTGAGGCCGCGTCCCACATACAGCAACTAGAAGGACGTGCAACTATGACATACAACTATCTACTGGGGCTTTGGGGGAAAAATAAATAAATAAAAATTAAAAAAAAAAAAAAGTGAACTGAAACTATAAGTAACACAATACAGAAAGTATAACCATAATTAATGAATTTGAGCATTTGAATTTAATTTAAATCAGGTAAAAATATTTCTAACAGCCATCCATGCTCTTGGTTATTTGGGATATGAAAACAAATTAAATAGGCCAAAATTGTGGTTTATTTTATAAATAGTATGAAAGATGTCAGGAATAAGAAACCAGACAACCATTATTGATAGCTTTTAAAATTTTTGCTATGAGGTTTGCCCATTCTTTCATTTACTGAATGTCAATCAGAAAATATTATTTTTATTCCAAGGATATACCTCTTGGGATTTTCTGATGGCCCTGGCATTGTGTCCTCTCCCAGAGGACAGTTTTGTTTTGAGGGCAAGTATGTCAGAGGAGCTGGCTCGTCTCTTCCCCATCAGGCACTGCAGAGCGTACCCCTCTTAGGCTTCCATCTCTTGTCAGCTTAGTATGCTGCAAACTTCCAAGCCAGTATCTGTCGACTCTTCTCAGCATCAGTAATTTTAAATTCGGCTTTCTTTCTATACAGGCAAGTTAAAGCCCCACATTCAGCTACTGGTTGTCCAACTTTCTGACTGTTGTATCTTTCTTTTAAATCATATCTTTTAAAAAAGATCTCTCTAAAAGGGTATATCCATCTGCAGATCTCCTGGAATAATTTATTTTGAGCCTGCTACTTTTTAATTTATCTGAGCCTTCCTCAACTTTGTATTTTTAATCTGCACTGCATTTCAGAGTAATTAGTTCATAAATTTATGTCTTAATATGTAAAATAGCACTTCCTTTTGTTTTTCGTAAAACTCGTAATTTCAGGTTGCTTGGAGTGCCTTCTGGTTCTAGATTCTGACTGAGTAATCTACACTATCTGCCTATTGTAGAGGTAGATAAACGTTGATACGGTCATTACAGGGACCGTTTATATCTTTTCCTTCCTTTGATGGTATATGAGGGAACCTTTGTCTGTAAAAACATAGTCCAGTAGCTTGGCTGTGTTATAGACTAGAATTGTAAATGTCAAAGGAATATAATGCATTATTTTTTAAATGTATTGGAACAATTTAATTTGGAAAATTATAAAATTATTTTTTTAAGTACTTGGAGAGAATATAGACTTTTTTAATACCTTTGGAATATGGAATGCCTTTCTAAGCATGACATAATGTCTAGCAGCCATTAAGGAAAGAATTGATACATTTAAGTCAAAAAATAATATTCAACTAGGAAAAATATTTCTGTCATGCCACAGATAATAGGCTAATTCTGTTAATATACAAAAAACTTGCAAATCTATAGGAAAAAGATGAACAACTCAGGAAAAGAAATGGTTAAAGGGCGTGCACAGATTTTTCCTTGCAAAAGAAGTACAAATAGCCAATAAACGTAGGAAAAATGCTCATTTTGAGATTCTTCTGTCAAATTAGCAGAGAATTAAAATGTTTTCATACCTAGTGTGAGGAAGGGCGTGGTCAAATAGGCATTCTGATACAAAGCTGGTGAAAGGATAAATTGATGAAGCTCTTTTGGAGGACAGTGTGATAATATGTGTTAATATTTAAAATGTACCTGCTCTCTGACCCAGCACTTCTGAGTTTATCCTGCGCATCCACTCTCAGAACACAGACATCGGGGCAGCAGGTTTAGTGCAGCATTGTTCTGTGTCTGTCATGTGGGGGACTGGCCCGGTGGACTACAGACCAGGCACCCAGTGGGAAGCTGTGCTTCTTTTAGAAGAATGAGGGCAGCTTTAGATGTACGGTTATGGGTGTATGATTTTTTTTTAAGGCACATCAGTATGGGTAATGTTATCTTTCTTGTGTTTATGTATACATGCACGACAGATTCAAATTTTGTAGAATACTCATTGAAGGCTACCCAAGAACTGAATCAAAATCTCATTGTCTTCTTGTTCTAATATAGATTTCAGGTTGGATAAGGACAGCTACTGCAGTACTTTTAGAAGACCGAGTAGTTTTTAGTGGTTAATATTAGTTTCATTATTACTTATTTACATGGTATTTTACAGTTTCAAGAGTATTTCATATTCATGGCTGTGCCACTAGAATGAATTAACCAGCTGATGAAAATGAATCTCAGAAGTCATTAAAAGACATGTGTTGTTAATAGTTGTCCTAGTCTTGTTTTTCACCCAGTTATTAGTGTTTAAATTATATCATTGCCTTCATTCTAGAAAGGTTCTCAGTATAGATCTGTAAAAAAAAAAAACTGTTCGATGACAGCCTCTTTGGAGAACTTTTGAGAAATTAATGGGGAATTTTTGGTTGTACTTTTTAAAGAAGAATAATGGGGATTAAACATTAAAAGTTCTATAAAATTAGATGTTTTATCTGAAGGTTTTTGACTTGAAAGACTGATTTTCTATCTACTTTAAACACCGGAAAGATGTACATACTTGAAATAAACTGCTTCTCTTTTTGTTAAAGTTCTTGTTGCTTTTTATCACAGTGTGTCCCAGTTCCCCTTGAATATCTCTGTTTTTCTGTTTCACAATTTCTCATCCCATCCCACCTCCTCCCCCAGGCAGCTTGGTGTAGTGGAGCATATGAGCTTTGGGGTTA